TCCCACACTGTGATAGCATATCTACATACTAGGTCTGTCGTGACGTCGAATATCGGGTCAAACCATTCATCACTCTGTGTGGCGAGCCAGGCCGCAAGGCTGGCGTGTGACTTGGCTCCCACCAAAGAACCTGCCAGTGTGCGTAGCTTTGCCAGCGTCGCAGGGACGACCCCGCTAGCACCAGCTCCATGCGCAGCAGCGGGCAGCAGGCCCGTGCGCCACAGAGTATGAACTTGAGCTCGTCCCCGTTGCAGCGCAGCCAACTTGCCCCTCCTGGCCAGTACGCCCATGACACGCTTCCTCTCTTGTATACGTCTTAGTCGCACCCCCGCGAGCTCGTGTCCTAGATTGCGCATGTGCTTGTGGCAGCGAAACCGTATGAATCCCCCAAGCTTCTTCGCCACCCGTGTCGCCTCCGTAGTGCCACCCACGCATCCACTTTTGTCTACCTGAATGATGAGACCTAGCGGCTGCACTTGGCGAATGAACCATCGTACTGCATGAAATAGGACGACCGCCTGAGAGGGTTCTGCACCTATCCATTGAAAGCTGACGTCGTCCATCAAAGCTCGTGGCACCACCTCCACATACTTCCTGCGTAGGGCCTCCAAGGACTGGCAGAGAAGCAGGTGGACCATGGCGCAGGCGTGAGAGCATCCCGCTAGTATGCCCTGCGCGGAGGTGAACTTGGTGGACAGTGACCCGTAAGCTCGCACCTGCCGTGGTGCCTGGTATGTGTGGATCAACATCCAGAGTAATCTCATCGGAAATTGCATCTGACTGGCTCTGTCCAGCAGCGCGGTATGTCGTATCGTCTCGAAACACTTGTACATGTCAATGAGTGCACTGACCGTATGCATGCCATTGAGCTTCGCCGTCTCTGCAGCTATGTTGTGTTGAAACGCAGCGTCGGTAGACGTCGCCCCAGGCCTCGTGCCCCAAAAGGCAGTCGAAGGGTTGGCGAGCTCCCATCTCTTAGATATCCTTCGTCGTAATCGGCTCCAAATACGGACCACAGTATTGATGAGTGCGATGAGGCGGTGGCCCCCCGTGGGCTTGGGGAGCCTCACTAGCACCGTGGTGACCCTCTGCACGGGCCAGCACGCCAACCTCTCGCATTTGTGAAAGAGAGAAGCAAGGACTCCCAATCCAATGTCCGATACTTGGGTCAGTGCACGGGGTTGCATCGATACCTGCCCAAGCGCCGTAGTGGCTTTGAATCGTCTGAGTATGTTACGAATGTCATCGATTGTGATCTCAGGTAAGTCCTCCCAATCTGCATGTCCTGCCGGCTTGGCGACCGCTGTGTCATCATGAATGGTCCAGACCCCCTTCCAGAAATCCAAGCATTCGTCTGCCATGTGGTGCGGTTGGCCACGGTCGTTCTCGGCATACTGCAACGTCTCTTGTAGCTCGCGCGCCCTGGTGTACCTGTGCGCTTTGCCAGCCCCATTTTGAAATGCCTGCTTGGCCCACTGCGCCCATTCGATGCCAGCAAACTTGCGTATGGCCTCCGTCACGCGATTCACCTTGTCCAGGGCTTGGTCTATCCTGTCTAGGAAGTCAGGCTCATAAAACCTGTCGTGCAGACTGTGGAGCTGGATTCGATCTTCATAATCAAGCAGCGGCCCAACCCAGCCAGCACGTACAACCCGCGCGAAGAAACCCTGAAGGTCCCGACTGAGTTGCGCGAACAACCGCTGCTCCTTGGCCATACCTTGGTCAGGACTGCCCAGGCTGTTGACGTAGTGTCCATGCTGGCCGTAAATGTTTGGCAATAGTCTTGCGGGAAAACGGTTCGCATCTGCTTCCTCCATTATGCGTTGGAGGGCCGTGTGCATTCGTGTGTATGTGGAGCGTAGATGCCGACACCACTTGCCATACTGCTGGTAGGCGCTCAACCGCTTCGGTCTCGGTGGTACGACTGCCTGCACTCGCTTCCATACCCATTGGTCTGGACCAGCTCGGCCTTGATAAAGTCCCCGATGCGTTATGTCCATTATGTCATTGCGGTTGAGGATATCATGCTCCATCGTCGCAATAACCCCATCCCACGCCGCAGCCAAGGTCACACCATCTGAGGCTTGATCGATTAGCTGCTTCACGCGTGCCCATTGCCGTCTGGGTGGGAATCTGGCACAACCCACCTTCGGCACCGTCGGGAGAGGTCGAGGTATAACAGGGACGCGTGCCCATTGCTCATGCGCGCAGTATTGGAACCCCAAATGCACAGGCTGATGCGGAAAGGTCGCTGCCACTCCGACTTCACATCCTCGAATCCAATCGACCAGGGCCGCCGAGACGCAGAAATAATCCCTGGTAGTGCCAGGTTGCGTGGCATTGCATGTGGGTTGGGCTGGGACCTGCTGAACTCCGTGTACCGAATGCATCCAATCCATCGTGCTCGATGGGTCCATGTTCCAGTCGCCCGCCACAATCCATGGCTGTCCCAAACCATTGAGCGCCTCCAGGTATTGTGCCAAAGTGGTAAGTAAATCCATATTCTCTTGATTGAGCCCCACCGAGTCGACCAAGTAAATGGAGACCAGCACTGCGCCTCCCCGTGGTCCCCAGCTGGCATGCCCCACCGTGATTCGGCCTGGCGCGAGAGTCGGAGTGGTCAACAGTGGTCCCATTCCAAGCCGCGCATGTTTCGGTGCAAGAATAGCGCATCCTCCGCAAGTGCCTCCTCGGCCCGTGGGTGCGGCCGCCGTCCATACTCCATGAAACCCGTGATGGCGCGCTGTATTCTGTAGCTCAGGGAGTCGCTGGTCATCACCATGATGTTCCTGCAGGCAGACAATAGACTTGTAGCTGCGGGGCGCACTCAAGACTCCAGCCATGGCTCCATGAGACGTAAGGTTGGAGGTGAGGACCTGGTTCACGTTGGTGCCATTGGCATGCACCCCTTCAACCGAGCACACGACCAGTGCGATAAGAAACCCCCGATAACGGTCGTGGCGGTATCGACTAGAGCGGCCCCATGTTACGGGACCGCCCGCACGTCCCTGCAGCGTACACGGCGCAGCAGGAGTAGCAGCACTTCTTGAGCTTGTGCGACGGCTAGCGGCAGAGGTGCTGGGTCCCGTTGGCTCCCGAGGCGCGGACCTTGGGGAAGGTCTGACGACTTTAAAGCCCGCATCCGCGCGGCTACCAAGGGAGCCCGTCGACAGCACTTGCCCTAGCCAACCGCTGTAGTACCCTATCCTCAGCAGGATGTCGTAGATGAGGTTGATGTCCGTCCAAAACTTCACCAACCAGAAGACTAACATGAACTTTACCAGGTAGGCGAGGCCGTAGGCCGCTTTGTCCAGCACCACATTTGTTGAGCCATGACCTTCAGGCTTGACCCGTACGCATCCGTTTGGCCTGAAGAGTCTCCATTGCATTGGCCATCCGCTTGATGGCCTCCCTGACCTGCGCCTCCTCCTGCGGTGGGTCATCGCCCATGGCATTGCGCAGAAACTCCCGCAACTCGTCGAGGTCGTCTGTGTCCATGGGGACAGGCCTGGCTTGCGCCTCCTGCTGCTGTCCCGCCGACGGCATGTCTGCGGGTCCACTAGCCGCAGCTGCACTGGAGCTGCCTCCTTCAGGTTGCCCTGGTGCTGGAGATGCGTCCGACCCTGCTGCAGCTGCCTTGTCCGCGAGTGCGCGCAGCTGGCTGAAGACCGTGGCCACCGACTGCGCGAGCTGGTCGTCCGCGCCCAGGCCCTGGAGCATCTCGCCCATCTTTTCGACCGAAATGTCGACTGCGGGCACGAGCGCGCGCAGGGAGCACTCGCCAGGTGCCGCCGTAGGTGCCTTGGCCGAGACTTTCCAGCGCAGCGCCTCAAGCTCCTGCACCTCGGCCGTGATCTCAGCGATCTGGCCCTCCGTCTCGGTGATCCTGTCATCCAGGCGCTTGCGCTGCTCCTGCAGGTCCTGGAGCGCGGCCTGGCGCTTGTCCTTCGCCTGCACCAGCGCGTCGATGCGGGTGGTATAGTGGTGAAGCTGGCCCGCGAATGGCTTCGACTCAACGATGCGCAGCTTGATGGCCTCCCGTTCTTTGGACAGGGCCTCCCTCGCGCCCATGATGGCAGGGTCGGTGCTTGTGCCCAAGGCACGGAGGAGCGAAGCAATCTCTGCGAGCCGTCCCTGTGGGTCATCAGCTTCGCTGGCTCCCTCGCCCACGGCGGGGGCGCTGGCCGCCTTGAGCTGTGCCTTGAGCTGCGCGATCTCGCGATCCTTGGCCGCCACATCTGACCAAGGCGGCACGCTGTCTCCTTTGCGCCGCACGCTGGTCGAGGCTGGCCTCTGTGCAGGTGGGCCGTCGGTGGGCTTGGGGCCACCGAAGCTGGCCCCCTTAGCAACACGACAGCTGGTACATTGCTGGCAATCACCTCGATTCCACCACTTGGCCCCTGTGCGCGGGTGCGTACACCAGCGGCAGAGCCATGGGGCGGCCCAGGTCCTGCGATCCGAGACAGCTGCGGACTTGTTCGCAGCAGCGGCATGCGAAGAGGAACCATTAGCCATGGAACGCGGGAAGAGGTGTGAGCAATACGACGGTACTGTCTCGAAGATGTGCCGAGGATGTGTGCCTTGCAACAGGCGAAAGCAGTTGGGGGCCGTGGATCCCCCCACGCCACTCGTCAAGCCCTGAGCCTCACGCTACGGACTTGAGCCAAAATGGCTACGGAGGAGGAGGAGGAGGAGGAGGAGGAGGAGGAGGAGCAGGAGCAGGAGGGGGAGAAGTAGGAGGAGAAGGAGGAGGAGAAGGAGGAGGAGGAGATTGTGTCTGATGGGCCTGCGCACAGCATGCCACGCGCCACCAACTGCGCCATGTGCGCGGCCAAGGGGGGGTCAGGGACGCAAAGAAATAAGAAGAGTCGCCGTGAAATCTGGGGAGATATCATGCCCCCCGCCATGATATCCACCCCCCCCTGGTCATCACCCTCCTCTTGGCCGCCCCCGGAGAGCAGGGGGTGGAAAGCCAGACCCCCTGGGGTTGTGCCCGGCTCCCCGCAGAGCCGCACCAGCCACACGGGGCCGCCGCCGCCGACACCGCTCGCCTCGCACCGCCTGAGCCGGCGCAAGCCGCACCGTCGGCGGCCGTCGCGGGTTGAGAGCGTTGTCTCTGTGCGTCCGCCTTCCGCTCGTCCGCCACCACCACCTGGGAGGTTCCGTCTTGCGCCAGCAGATCAAATCCATGGAGGAGGAAAAGGAGGAAGAAGAGAAGGGGGAGGAGGAAGCAGGATGAAGACTGGAGGAGGAGGAGGAGAAGGAGGAGGAGGAGGAGGAAGAAGAGGAGGAGGAGGAGAAGGAGGAGGAGGAGGAGAATGAGGAAGAGGAGGAACTGAGCAGGAGCAGGATGAGGAACGAGGAGGAGGATGAGGAGGAGGGGGAGGAGGTGGAGGAGGCATGGAAGAGGAGGAGGAGGAGGAGGAGGAGGAGGAGGAGGACAGCAATCCAACCCCCGCTGCCCGCATATCCCTCCAACCCCGCCTCCTCACGGGACCGTGTGGCCGAGCAGAGACTGCAGGGACTCCCCCCTGCCTCCTCAGTCCTTCCGTCGGCCCTCTGTGGGAGGTGGGCCTTTCGTTACCGCAGCGGGGCGGAAGACAGGCTGGACATAATGCTCGGGAGGGATCCGAGGACCCGTCTGCAGACTCTGGCCCTGTTCCCTCGTCTCGTCCCCCGCAAGGGTGGAGGTGAGGGGGAGACACGTGGCATCCCTCCCCGCAATGAGGCAGGGGGGGGTGGGGGGACGATGGGGCGGGGGGGCACTTGTGGGTCTCACGACTTGGTCTCCTGGCCACCTCCTCGCCAGCCGACACCGACACGGCGCACTGGAGGCCTGCGGTCACGCTGCCAGTGACACGAGCGGGGGGGCAACGCGCGTTCCATGATCGGCAACGCGAGGCCTGGACTGTGAGCCCGGAGGCGTCCTGTGCATACATCCACCCAACGCACGCATGGTGTGCGTGTGCCATTCTGACCATACTGCCATCGGGGGCGGGGGTTGTCGAGGAAGTTTGTCCGCCGACGTCGGCCCACTCCTCACAAGTCTTACTTTGAACCCCCTCCCCAATCTCCTCAATTCGGAAGCGGGTCGCTTCGCACGTTAGTTCTTCCAACCGCCTTCTTCACATCTGGGGGGACGTTTGCCTCTCCATCTGCCCGTTTCCATATTTCTGACAGGGGAGGGAGGCGCGACGGGTTCAGGCGTCCGATATGGCCAACGATGACCCCAAGAGGGCCCAGATGACCCAACATCGCCTCCGAGATCGCATGGCATCAACCGACATGGCTCAAGATATCTCTGACCATATCCACCAAAGTCCCCGGTAATGCCCCAAGACGGCTCCAAGTGGCCACAGACAATCCCAAGAACCCCGAAAGAGGGCAGACTCCGCGCAACGAAACAACTTAATGCCGCATCATCATGCACATTCGCGTAGGATGGGCTTGTGAGGCCTCAGGAAAAATCCGCCATGGCTCAAGGGAGCTCCTTCAGGGGCCCAAAGCGGCCCCGAGGGTGCCCCAAGAGGGCCCCAAGACAGGACTTCTGGGTTTCCGAAGTGTGGCTGCTGACATGAAGTGCCACCCACCTTCCTAAGATGGTTCCAGGAAGCTCGCAGAGGTCTGCAACTATCAGTGTGCAGGGACCTAGCGGTCATTCACTGTCCCTGGGCGCGTGGCTGAAGTGAGGATTTGCTGTACGGATTGTTGTTGTCGTTGGTATTGTTGATGTTGTCGTTGTAAATATCGTTGCCGATCTTCCATTTATTGAAATTAACTGTTGCTGATCCCCCCTCACCGGTGCATGCTGTTTTTTCTCGATCGAAGTGTGCCCCTGGACGCTCACACCCTGTTTTTTGGCAATGAAAATCTTGATGTTCAAACTGCGCCCCTGGCCCCCACGGTTACAACAACAACGGCTCCCGCCTGAGACGGCCTCACCATTTAGCCAGGACCCCCGCTCCCGCCCAAGACTTCCTCGCATGTTATTCAGGACCCGCGCTCTCAACTTACTGACGAATAGCGCCCTTGCGTTGGAATTTCTTACAATTGTCTCAAGCGCCGCGCTCCCGACACCCAGGCACCCAGGAATCGCGCTCGCGCTTAGGACTCCCTGACAAATTACCTAGGCATCAGGATCTCGCTGCCCTTCGTGGCACCGTTGCAGCCCTTCGTGGCCCCCTCGCCTTGTTTCGTGACCCCGTTGCAGCTCTCTGTGGCCCCCTCGCTTTGTGCCGTGGCCCCGTTGCAGCCCTTCGTGGCCCCCTCGCTGCCCTTCGTGGCCCCGTTGCAGCCCTCCGTGGCCCCCTCGCTTTGTGTCGTGGCCCCGTTGCTGCCCTTCGTGGCCCCGTTGCAGCCCTTCGTGGCCCCCTCGCTTTGTGTCGTGGCCCCGTTGCAGCCCTTCGTGGCCCACTCTCTTCCCTTCGTGGCCCCAAATATGTATGCCCTTCGTGGCCCACGCTCGTTCGCGCCCGTCTTGGCTCCATAATCATGCATGCGCTTCGTGGCCCCGCTGTCGCCCTTCGTGGACCCCTCGCAGCCTTTCGTGGCCCCGTCGCTGCCCTCAATGGCCCCGTCCTTGCCCTGTGCGGCCCAATGTGCGCATGCCCTTCGTGGCCCCCGTTCGTTCGCACCCGTAGTTGCCCCATGCGCATGCCCTCCGTGGCCCCGCAATCGACCTTCGTGGCCACCTCGCTGCCATAACTCAGTGCGGGCGATAGTAAAAGCCCGTAGAGAATAAAGTTCAGGGGTCTGACGGGGATAAACAACAATTTTCCCGGGAAAGGTGATGTTATTCAGAAGTTATGATGATGATGACGATGATCATGATGATGGTGATCTTGGGCGCCCTGGTGATGATGATGGTGATGATCCAACTGAACAGGTGAGAATCCCACAGCCCTGCCAAACGCTCATGATTTCGGAAGCTGACATGGTGAGACCACCATGGCCATGCTCAGCGTTGTTGATGCTGCCGCTAGTCAACATGAGATGGTAGCAACTTCGATTCGCAACTTTCCCCGTGGATTATCAAGTTCGGACTCCGCGCACCTCTCCACAGCTGAATCCTGTTGAACGGGGATAGCAAAAATAGAGGGGGCGAAGGGGGGGGTAGGCTTTATTATCGCCCGCACGGGGTTACCCGCGACCCGCCCGCGACCGGGCCCGCGACACACCCGCGACACACCCGCGACCCGCCCGCGACCCGCCCGCGACCCACTCCCCGATCCACGAACATTGCTTTGACCAAAGCATTCGGAGCCTGCGGTGGGCTCGTTGTGTAATTGGTGGGATGTTGGCGCCTGCGGCGGGCTTCCTCAGAGCCTCGCAGCCTGCCGACGTCCCCGCAACCCCATCACTCTTATCCGCAACTGCGGGGTGCTACGTATAATGCGGGCCTGCACCCAAAATTGCTGCGTCTTGTGCTTCTGCCGCCTTCCGCCGATGTTCCGCTGGTTTCCGCCGGCGGACCTGCAGCACTTTTGTATCCGTTGGCTTCAGTTGGCCGATCGACGCCTTCTGTAGGGAGCGAGACGCGACGAACACGAGGCACTTTCTGAATCACTCCATAGGATGCTTGCCTACGCCGACCCCACCCTCCAAACAATTCCCAGGGCATCGTTTCTGGATGGGCTGGCGGGGATGCTCCTCACCCCCCTCAACCTCTTTACGATCTTCCTTCATCCTACTCCTCCTCTCACTCCTCTTCCTCCCCTCGAACCTCCTCCGTGAACTTCCCCGCCCCCCCCCCCGCGTCCCTCTCCACCACCTTCACCACCGTCTCCTCCTCCCCCTCCCTGCTCCTTAAATCTTCCCTCCAACTTCTTCAGTTCCTCCTCCTTCTCCTCCTCCCTGTTTACCGCGGGCCACCCGTCCTCCCGCTTCCCCCCTGTGCATCCACTGAAGGGACACAAGAAGATGCTCGACGGAAGATGCCCGAGTCCGTGGGGGACTGTTGGAGGCGGCTTGGTGGGACTGAACTGGCTGCGGCCCTAGAACATCGGCCATGCAGGGGGGTGAGGCCATATCTGTTAAAATCGATCCCCGGACCCCATCTGGGGTCCATCTGGTGCATACTTTCGCCCCAGATCTGTGTCTGACGGTCCTGGGGCCCGAAAACAGCCCCCCGAGGCCGAAACGTGCAAAAAGCCTGAACGAACCCAGCACCTCGGACCTGGCCCCCCCTCCCTGCTGGCCAGCCAGTGGCAGGCAGGCGCGCGCGCCTAGCAGCTCGGCCTGTAACGAGCAGGCCACCCGCATGACCGCCGGCGCTTGGCGCAGAGGTTACCCTCGGGATCCACCAAGGGGGGCTGATCCTAAGGGGGGGCATGGAAAGGATCCGCTAGTGCACCGAACTGCCGCAAACAAATGCCCCCCGCATGGCCCACCGATCCGCAACTATCGGGAGCTGCCAGCGGCTGGGGGGCATCTGTTCTGGGCGGCTCGGAGCAAAAACCGATCGAACTTCTCCCCCAAGGCAAACACCCCCTTTGCGGGATCCCGACCCCCTCGGGGGACCCCCCGAACCGACGCACGCCGGGCGGCCGCCTGCGAGGTGTCTCGGGACAGAACGGCTGCGATTGGCCCGCTCTTGGAGGCTTGGAAGGGGACACCAAGATAGAACCTCCCAAATGGGGTCCGAGTAGATGGGGTCGAAAAATCGTGCCGCATCGCCGATGCATCGGCGATGCGGCGGGGGGCCAACGAATCTCAGGAGGCCCCTGTCCCGCGACAGGGCAAACCAGCACGGGGGCGCAATCCGGAAGGATGACCAGCACGACGCCGTCGCGGAGCAGATTGGCAAGAGGAGGGTGCACGAGGTTTGGCATGCCCCCATCGCCGGCAAGCCATGCGTGCGGCTCAGGGGGTGCTGCTGCCCATGCCTCCCACTGAGAGGGGCGGGAGTTGCCAACGTCGGAGGAAGTAAGGCGGGCAGGGGAGCCAGGGGGGGGGGAAGACACCATCCACCCCTCGTCTTCATAATTAGACTCCTCCCCCTCCTCCTCCTCCTCCTCCTCCTCCTCCTCCTCCTCCTCCTCCTCCTCCTCCTCCTCCTCCTCCTCCTCCTCCTCCTCCTCCTCCTCCTCCTCTTACCAGCAAACGTGTCGGCAGGGCGGGCCAGGCGTTTGGGCCTCAGATCTCCCCACCACCTCCGCACCGTGAAACTTGCCGTCTCCAGCAAGCCGCACAATTGCAGGGCGGGGCCGTTTCTTCAAGAGGCGGCTCTCTCGCTGTGGCGACCGCGCACAGCTGCTTGCCAACTCGACACGGGGACTCAAAGCAGTGGCGCCAAGCTCTCGCCGAGGCAAGCCAGAACTGGATGACACACGGGACGCGCGACCCGTTGCCTCGAACCGCAGCCGAACAGAAAGCAGCACCAAGCCACCACGGAACCCGAACTCGAGACACTCCTCCTTCTCTGAGGGGAGCCGCAAGGCGGGCACTGGCGCAGGGGGGCAGACATGACCTGGAATCGACGGTGCACCGACGACAGGCCTCCAATGGGGAAATGCATCGTCCCTGGGCAGCTCGGGGCCCGATCGGCGAGGATTGGCGGCGCGCGCAGCAGAGGGGTGCGGGCACAAGGGAGCGGCGAGGATTGGCGGCCTTCCAACGAGGAGAGGGGACCCTCCCAGAGGGCAATGGGCTTCTCAGAAGCCCTCCCGGCTTCCCAGGGGCCCTATAATGAAAGCACTAGGGCCTCTCTAAGACATTCCCTGCCTTCTGAGAAGCTCTGGCTCCCGCGCCAGCCTGACGAGTCGAGCCCAAGATGCCTGCATTTGTGCTGCCAAGCCCTTGCGTTGCTTCGCCTTGCAGGCAGAGATGTTGGTCTCAAATGCAAGACCTGCGGAAAGGGGGCTCCAGGGCTCCTTCTAGTAAGCCCGATTGAAGGGCTGACTAAACCAGATTAGGCCGAATTAGGCGCAGGATCAGGCGCAGGATGAAGATGGGCTGAGCGGGACTGCGCCAGACTAGAGAGCGGATTATGCCGGATCATGCCAGCCTGCGGTCGGGGATATACCAGCGCCAGTTCTGCATGGGATCTCCCAGGAACTGCATCCTATAACGGCAACAGCATGCTGCGGCATCGCCGGCTCCACCTTCCCCCTGGCTCCCCAGCTGTCCCTGGCTCGCACCACCAAGGGACCTATGAGGCCGCCCCGCAAGGAGTGGTCGCCCGACGAGCGCAATGGGAAACGGATGCTGCGGCGGCAGAACAAAGTCGGAGAAGAAACAGAGTCGACACGATTGTGAAGTTTTGCAGATGGAGCTTGATTTGATTGCATCGCGTGACGGTGAAGACAGCAGGGCCGTTTCAGAAGCACTTCAGCAAGAAGATTCCGCGATTGGAGGCGAGGCTGGTGGAGTGCCTCCCGAACAACGCGGAGGAGAGCTTGCGTCGTCAGAAGGACGCTGCTCATGGTGCCGGTGTGCGTATCTTCGGAGACCCGAGAAAGCAACGACACCTTCGACGATGGCTCGGAGCCTACTGGAGAAGCAGAGCTCGATGCGGGAGCTCACATATGTGATGGATATTACTGCGGCCTGGATGCTCGCTTCATAAGGGGTGGGTGCAGCAGCTCGTCGAAGGCGAGAACGACGAGAACGAGCTGAACCAGCTTGTGAAATCGGCCTCGGTTGCGACGACCTGCTCAACTACGACGACATCCAATTCTACTTCATAGATGTGACCTGCCGGCCTACGTCATGGAGGTTATGTCCCTGGTCTCCGCTTCGTGTACAATCAGCCCGTATCATAAGGATGCGCGATAAGGACGCAAGGGCCCTGGAAGGCCGTTGCGAAGCTTGCCGAGCGGGGCGCGGCCAACGAACGTGGCCAAGGATGGACCGAGAAGGAAGGGTGCAAGGGTACCCTTGGGAACGTCGCCCATCCTTACTGTGCGGGTTGTCTGTACGTCATGGAGGTTGTGTCCCTCGTCTCCGCCTTCGTGTTCTTTGCAGTGTACGCCAGGTTCCGTGCCGACTTCGACAGTGGGTCCTGACACCGCGGGGATCCTTGAATCTTGAACGATCGGCCGTTTCCGAACCAAATCGTTCCACATCGAACGATTCTGGGTCGCCCGCGGCGTTCAACGTTGAACGCCGCTGGCGGGGTCGCCGCTGGTCGGCACGACACGAACCTACCGTACCTTTATTGACTCCTTGTCCGCGACCTGCGCATCGGCCCGTCTGCAATTCCGCCGCGCAGCGGCCCGCGGCATCCCTGGCTCGCGCGCTGCTGCTGGCCGCGCGGCGAAACCGCGGGCACGCCGCCAATGACCCCCGCAGGAAGACGCCGGAGGACCGGGACGCGGACATGGCCGAGAACGCTGTCTGGCGGCGCGCACAAGGGGGTGGGGGGAGGGGGGAGGGCGTCTGAGAAGGAGGCTGCTTTTCAGAAGGCGCGGGCCTTCCATCTGCAGACAAGACTGGCGCCTTCTTAGAACCAGCTGTGCTTCTGAGAAGCCTTCCCCGATCCCCCTGCCCCCCGCTGGCCATCGCTCGGACGTCCATTCCCTGTGTTTTTTTGTCGGTTTCGTGCGTGGTTTTTTCGCCAAATGATCAAGGATGCTCCCCGATGGTCCTCGCCGCAGGAAAACTGCACGCGTCCGAGCGGTGCCAGGCCCACGGCGCGCCGCCGGAGAAGGCCGGGACGCGGACGCGGCCGAGAACGCTGCAGCCCGTGGGCCGAGGCCCTCCCCGCGCTGCGCGCTCTCCTGCTGGATCTGGCAGTGTGCTCTGGCGGCGAGCGGAGGGGGGTGGGGGGAGGCCTCATCCCTGACCTTCCAGGAGGGCTAAAAAATAGCACGCGACTTAAAAACCTATCCCAGAGCTATTCTACGTCTTGGTTTTAGGCTGTTTCGTCTCGTTTTTTAGGTTTTTAGGTCTCCAGTGCTAAAAGATAGCTCTCTGGAAGGTCAGGGATATAGAGGGGGCTGCTTCCCCAAAGGCGCCGGTCACACATCTGTGCACAAGGCCCGCGCCTTCTGAGGAGCAGGGTACTTCCAAGAGGCCTTCCCCCCTCCCCGTATACCCCTCTGCGCGTGGTCCATCTCTCCCACTGGACCTGGCAACATCCTGGTTTGCACAGTCCTGGCCTGTTCTGGGGCCCTGAGTTGGGCGCGAATTCCTGGGGGGCGAAGAATGGGGGGGGGCAGCGAGGGCTGCAGAAAAGGAGCCCTTCTGGGGCCCCTGAAGGGGCCCCAGAGGGGACCTTTAGGGCCCGCAGAGGTGGCCTGTAGGGCCTGGAAGAGGGCACCGATTTCCCCCTCGCAGGTCGCCCCCGCATCAATTCGCGCCCAACTGGAGTCAGCAGCAGTGGATCCGGTCTGGAGGGATGCTCCTGATCTGCACGAACAGCGGCAGCCGCGGGTCCAGGTGCCGCTCTGGGCAGGCCAGGTCCTCCCCGAAGACCCACCGGAGGAGGGCCAGCCGCGGCCACGGCGGCCCTCCCTGGCGTGTTTCGTCCCCGTAGGGCTCTCTTGCAACACCTCGCCGCCACGGCGGGGCCCGCCTCGAAGAACGGGTCAGGGCGGCCCCTGGTCGGCGGTGGACAAGCCTCCCTTTAGTAAGCCTCCCCTTGGTGAAGGCGGCCTGGGACCGGAACCGACGGACCTGGACCCGCAAAGATGGCGGCCGCGACGCCCCCTCGGGAACCGAAGACGGCCCATTCCCTAATCGACGTGTCAGGGCAGGAGATCTGTTCACCTCCGACCTGGGACGGGGCCCGCGGGGCAATCTTGAGCGGATGTGGGCCCGGCGAGAGGGCCGCCCTGGTCTCCACTGGCCCTCCTCCGGGACGACATGCCACCAGGGCATCCACAGCTGCGCCGGAGCCCTGCAGGTGAGGTCCTGCCACGTCACGAGGCGGCCGGCCGGGAACAGGCTCCAGTAAGACTCGTAGGAGGCAAACCACCGGAAGGCGTCCGCGTACCAGGACTGCCGCCGCAGAAGCGCACGCGGCCGCGGGACCAGGAACTGCACGCAGCAGTAGCCCTTCACATCCTCGCGCGGGGGCGCTACGGAGGAGCCGAACAAGCGCCGCCAGAGGAGCGGCGAGGCGAAGTCGTCCCAAGTATGGCGCGAGGTGCCGAGGTCCAGATAGTTGTGGCTCAGGTACATAAACGGGAACTGGTCCGAGTCCAACGTGCCGCTGCGGACCGCCACGACTATGTCTTCCAGCAAGCGGAATGGGTGCACGTGCTCTGGCGCGTCTGCGTGCAGGAAGAACGTCCACGTGGCCAAGTCGCTGTACCTGGGACCAGCCAGGTGGGCCAGGTAGGCAGTCGCGTCGTCGGCACGGAGCGCATCTTCCACTCGCTCGACCTCGACGACGTGCGCCACGGGCTCCAGAGCTGCAGCGAGAGCTGCATGAAACCCGTCGCCTGCAGCGTCGCCACACTTCTCCTTGATGAACACGCGCGTGCGATCGCGGTACTTCTCGGCACCAGGCGCGAGCAACTGCACGAGCCACCTCAGCATGGGGGAAACGGGTCCTGCGGGAAACGGGTCCTGGACCCCCGGAGCCTCCCCCCAGGACGAGCTCATCATCATGAGTCGTTCTCTGGCGGTCCCGCAGGGCCCGTGGAGGACCCTGAGAGCCCGAAGACGGCGACAACCCTCAGGATCCGTTTCCCTCAGGACCCGTTCCCAGACATCCGCCGGTCTGATTCTTAAAATCCGCGGCCCACAGAGGTCCTGACCCCTTTCCTGTGGATGGGCGTTCGCCCCGTATCCACTTTTGAACACCCCCCCGGCCCGATAACGGACCCCGCGAGCCGAAATCCAGGAGAACCCGCTGGATCGAACGAATCATATCCTCAGACCTCTGGGATTCCCCCATGGCGAGAGCCACCCCAGGCTGTCCTCGACCTCCGGGTACCCACCGCCGGGCGACTTGCTGACGCCGCAGAAGCACAGCACAAAGTCCACCTCGCCATCGCTCGGACGTCCACCCCTCGTGCCTTCTGCGACTCCGTGCGTGTGCTTTTGTTTTCGCAGGATGACCCAGGATGCTCCTCGATGGCCCTCGCCGGAGAAACGATGCACACGTCCGAGCGATGCCCGTCCACCGTCTGGCCCGCCGCCCCTCCGCGGCTGGGCATCGGCGAGCCGCCGGCGCGCTGCCAGCCACGCGCCAGGGGCCACCGCGCCCACTCCTCGCTGGGCGCGCGACGCGGGGGAAGAAGCGAGGAGTACCCGTCGGTCGGAAGAAGCGGGTCGCCATATGAAGCAGGAAGGCGTTGAAAGTAGATTGGGCGTCCGCCACTCGAGCATTGAAGTAGGAAGGAGCTGGTGAAGCCACTCGAGCATTGAAGTAGGAAGGTGCTCAAAGTAGATTGACAGCTGAGAATCCCAAGAATATCTACTTTCAGCGACCGACGGGTGCAGTCGGGGTTGATTGGAGAGGGCACGCGTGAGGACACGCGACCCTTCTGAGGGCCATGCTGGCATAGGAATGTAGAAGGCATCTGAGTCGCGAAACACAGGACACAAGGGTACCCTTGATCTAGCAGAGTCGACCTACTCATCAACCTCGGCTGCACAATTCCCAACGACCAACACCTACAGCGGCCGCTGTTGGGCAGGCGGCCTTCTGTCTCAAATGGGCACCGCCCGCGACGGCACTAACGACAAATCGTGCTCAAGATGAACAGGAACTGCCGTCAGTCTTCGCCCCCCTTTCTTCCCGTACCCACCTCCGATGCCGAAGGCCAGTGCGGAGCCCCGTGGACATGCTGCGCCAGCGGCAATGCAAACTGCTGGCACCGCTGGCCCCTGGAGGGTGCTTCCCGAGGCCTTCCGCGGCGCCGCCGAGAAAAGATCCAGCACCCCCTCGAGCGGGGGGGGGGGAAGCGAGAAGGGGCGGGCCTTCTCGGAAGGCTCGGGAGTCCCCCGAGGGCCGCTGGCCGAGGATTAGGTCGGGCATGTCCTCCTGCAGGCAGATTTTGAACGACAAATAAAACATACCAACAACACACAATGCCTCAAAATAGCCTACCAATAATCACACAATCGTCCCCAGACTATTTTTGACTATTTTGGGACATTCCTCTTGTAGGGGGACAGGCCCGACTTAAGCCGAGGATGGAGGGCCGAGCATCGAAGGTCGAAGGTCGAGGATCGAGGCCTCCAGGTTGGTCCCAGCAGCTGGGGTCGGAGGATCGCGCCAGATCGCCGATGCATCGGCGATACACCGGCGACGCATCGTCGATGTTGGCGATGCCTCGATGCATCGGCGACGCGGACACCGTCCACTCGGACCCCCTCTGGGAGGCCTATAGACTCCCAGGGGCCTTCCCAGGTCGCCCCTGAGAGGTGGCACGGCGCCCCCGGGGCCTTCCAAGGGACGCCGCAAAAAAACCGTCGCAAGACGGATCCTCGGAGGGCACTCGCCCAGAGTCCAGGGCCGCGTGCAAGGTGCCCAGGTAGAGCGCCTCGATGGCAGCGCGCTCCCCGCCGTCCATAAAAGAAGGAAAAACGCCATAAACATAAACTTTTGGCGCTCCGCCTGGAAATCTTGGATCTGGGCCGGACCCCCCTCCCTGGCGCGCGGAGCGCGCCAGGGGAGGCGTCGGAAGCGCCGCGGGGGGGCCCAGCGCGGATCCAAGATATCCGCGCGGAGCGCCAAAAGTTTATGTTTATGGCGTTGGTTCCTTCTTCGAGTCCAGGAAGCGGTGCTCCTCTGCGCGCAGCAGCAGGGCCTGGAGCGCCGCGGGCGCGCAGCGACTGGCCAGGCGCTTCCAGCCGTCGCCGGCCGCCTCGCGAAGGGCCTCACCGAAGTACAGGAGCAGGTGGACCGATACCCATTCGCTTGCCAGGTGGGGGTCAGACTGGTGAGGGTCGGAGTCGGCGATGGGAAAAGCTGAGGTAGCAATGCCGTCTTTTCGTCGACATACTGCCATGGCGGGGCACTCCCAAGATGAATCACCAGGAACAGCATGATAATCAAATGCGGCCCCGAACAAAGAAAACCAAAGGAATCGAGCTAACATGTTCCCGACCCCCAAGCGGCTGACCCCGTTAGCAAGCGAAGGAGATACCACGCCGTCCGCGTAGAAATCGCTCGCGGCCTCACGGAGCCGCACGAAGCGGTCCTCGCCGCACCGCTCGGCCGAAGCGGGCGCGGCCTCTGCCTCGGGAGCCTCCTCCGAGGCGCCGCATTCCTTCAGCCAAGAGGTCTCGCCGTACGGCGATGCGTGCCAGTCCCTGCTGGCCCGCAGCGAGTACACGAGATCATCCTCCGTGGCGCAAGGCTGAAGCGTGACCCCAGCGCAGCCCTCGCCCATCTCCTCACATGCCGCCTTCGCCTCCGAAAACGACCGCGACGCGGAGGCCACACCTCCGGCATGGCCCGGCAAGAACGATGCGCCGACGACGCGCACCCACTGGCAACCTCCGCGGGCAAGATCTGTATCCGTCTCCACTCAGCCCCAGGAACCACAGGCGCAGTGGAGACGGCTGAAATCCTGGCCCCCTATGGAGGCCAGATCTCTTGTTTCCATCTACCCCCTGTGCCCATGCCTGCTGGTGCCCCCTGCCCGGAGAGTCCGAGGCGCACCCGACGTGGATACCGATCTTGCCCGCCACCTCCGGCTTCCACTCCAGCCTCCCGACCCATGTCACCGTCGTCGTCGTCGTCGTCGTCGTCGTCGTCGTCGTCGTCGTCGTCGTCGTCGTACCCCTTCAGGGTCGGCGGCACCGGCCATAAGGCCTTCGCAATCTTGCCCGCCACCTCCGGCTTCCACTCCAGCCTCCCCGCTCCGCGCGCCGCGCACGGCCCGGAAGCGCTCGGCCCCGAGGCCGCAGTCGAAGAGCCCGGCCTCCTCGTCCGGGTCGCCCGCCGCGGGCTGGCCGCGGCCGCGCAGCGCCAGGGCGGCCGCAGCGGCCAGCTGCAGGCGCCCTCCCATGGCTCAGGTGCTCGCTCTGGGGACCTTCCCGGAGCCACTCGCTCCACTCGTGCGCCGAAGCTGCGTCGAACGCCCGTCGAGACCGAGTCGGGCGCCCGAGTCAAACCCGAGTCGAGCCCGAGTCGGACCCGAGCCGAACTCGAGCCGAACCAGAATCGCAGTGGAGTCGCACTCAGAGTCGTGCAGATCCGTCAGGTGAGCCCCAGGGAGGTCCCCAGACCAAGCATCTAATGGCCGTGCCGTCGCCGCGAGAGCCAGAGCGCTGCGCGGCGGCCGCGGCGGAGGCATGCCCGACCACAGCGGCCGCCTCTGCGCGGACCACGCAGGCAACACCGCTTTGATACTGCGTGCTCGAGCCATCATGGTCACGGAAACGCACCATACCTTGCTGGCGGCGCGCACAAGCGGGTCGTCGTCGTGGTCGTCGCCCTCGTCGTCGTCGTCGTCGTCGTCGTCGTCGTCGTCGTCGTCGTCGTCGTCGTCGTCGTCGTCGTCGGTGGTCGTCGTCGTCGTCACCAACGTTGTCCTCGTCGACGTCGTCGCCGTCGTCGTCGTCACCAACGGCGGCGTCGTCGTCGTCGTCGTCGTCAGGGAGTTGCGCGCTTGCTGGAAGATGAATCTGAACTGGTTGGGACCCCAGAAAATCGGACAAGAGGGGGGAGGGATGAGGCCAACCCCGTTCATATCGGTCCCCGAACCCCTCCTGGGGTCCTTCTTGTGCAATGTTTCACCCCGGATCCGTTTTTCACTGTCCCGGGGCCCGAAAACGGCCCGCGGAGGGCGAACAAACAGAAAACGGCCCGCGGAGGGCGAAAACGGCCTTCCCGAGCCCAAGACCTCGGACCTTGCCCTCCCCCCCTTCCCGCTGGCCGGAACCAAGGTTGGGCCACCTCGGACCCCCAGCTGGCTCCAGGTACAGGCTGCAGCCCGGAGCCGCCCAACGCGATCCCGACCGTCGTCTGGCCTCACGGCCCGCGCCTCCGGCCTGGGGGTCCGGCCGCGCCCAGGGCGCCGTGGAGCTGCCCCGAACGAGGAGCACTCCACGGCGGAGGGCTCCTCCAGCGCTGGGGCTGCTCGCGTGTGGCCCCCGTGCCAGCTGCAATCCAGATCAGCCCAGTGCGATGCTGGTCGTCGTCGGGACACGCGGCCCGCGCGTCGTGTCAGGTCGGGCATTTCCTCCGACAGGCGGATCTTGGGCGAAAAATGGGAAACAGTCCAAAACACATTCACAAATAGCAGAAAATGTAAGAAAAACCGTCCCAGAACTATTTTTGACTACCTCTGAATATTACTCCTCCTGTAGGGGGATACGCCCAAACCCGAGAGCGCAGCCGTGGCGAGGTGGACCTCCCCCCCCCCTCCCCTTCGGGGGGCGGCCAGCAGAAGCCACAACACCAGCGCTGTGGGGGCGCCGAGGGACGGGGGCTTCCCCCTGCTCTGGCCATGGGGAGGTCTAGCTCCTCCTCCTCCTCCTCCTCCTCCTCCTCGCTCCTCCTCCTTCCTCCTCCTCCTCCTGCTCCTCCTCCTCCTCCTCCTCCTCCTCCTCACTCCTCCTCCTCCTTGACTACCTCTGAATATTACTCCTCCTGTAGGGGGATACGCCCAAACCCGAGAGCGCAGCCGTGGCGAGGTGGACCTCCCCCCCCCCTCCCCTTCGGGGGGCGGCCAGCAGAAGCCACAACACCAGCGCTGTGGGGGCGCCGAGGGACGGGGGCTTCCCCCTGCTCTGGCCATGGGGAGGTCTAGTGCTCCTCCCTCCTCCCTCCCCCCTCTCCCTCCTCCCTCTCCCTCCTCCTGCTCCTCCTCCTCCGCCGCCTTCTTCTTCTCCTCCTCCTCCTCCTCCTCCTCCTCCTCCTCCTCCTCCTCCTCCTCCTCCTCCTCCTCCTCCTCGCTCCTCCTCCTTCCTCCTCCTCCTCCTGCTCTACTCCTCCTCCTCCTCCTCCTCCTCTACTACTACTCTACTACCTACCTACCTACCTACACTACTACTACTCCTCCTCCTACCTACCTACTACTACCTACTCCTACTCCTACTACTACTACCTACTCTACTACTACTACTACTACTACTACTACTACTACTACTACTACTACTACTACTACTACTACTACTACTACTACTACTACTACTACTACTACTACTACTACTACCTACTACTACTACTACCTACTACCTACTACCTACTACCACTACTACCTACTACTACTACTACTACTACTACTACTACTAACTACTACTACTACTACTACTACTACCTACTACTACTACTACTACTACTACTACTACTACTACTCCTCCTACTTCCTACTGCCTACTCTACTCCTACTCCTCGCCTCTCCTCCTCCTCCTCCCCTCCTCCTCCTCCTCCTCCTCCTCCGCCTCCTCCCTCCTCCTCATCCTCCTCCTCCTCCTCCTCCTCCTCCCACCCCTCCTCCCTCCTCCTCATCCTCCTCCTCCTCCTCCTCCTCCATCCTCCTGCTGCCTCCTGCTCCTCCTGCTCCTCCTGCTCCTCCTGCTCCTCCTGCTCTCCTCCTCCTGCCTGCTCCTTCCTGTTCTCCTGCTCTCCCTGCTCCTCCTCTCCTCCTCCTCCTCATCCTCCTCCTCCTCCTCCTCCTCCTCCTCCTCCTCCTCCTCCTCCTCCTCCTCCCCCTCCTCCTACTCCTCCACCGCCTCCGCGGCCTCCGCCTCCGCCTCCGCCTCGTCCTCCGCGTCCCTTCTCCTCGATCTTCTCTCCTCCTCGATCCTCCCATCTCCGCCATCCTCCCTCCTCGCCGATCTTCCCGCCAAGGCGTTCCTACCTCCCCCCTCCTCCTCGATCCTCCTCCCTCCCCCTGCCCCCGCCACCCCCCTGGAGGCCGCCCCTAGAAGTCGGGGCCATGAAGAGGAGGAGGTCACAGGAATGTGGGTCAAGAGCACTGGGCTCTTCGCTGGAAGCGCAAGGCGCAGTAGAGTGGTCCAGAACGACGAGCATCCCAACGTGGAGAAACCAAGCATGAAGAACAGAAATTGAGTGGGGACCGACCGTCCTGGCACTCCGCCAAGCCTACTACGAAATGCTCCCCGAACAAAAATGCTCGAAGAGCAAAGACCATGTTATACTACGGTCAAGCCGATGTCCTGAAACAGGGCAGTTCCAGCCAGACATGATCTAATAACAGTTTGGGCCAACCACAGAAGGTTCCGAGACCATTCTGCGGTGGGCCTGCAGGTAGGCCAGGACGCTTCGCCACTGCTTGAGAAAATAGCCCCCCCTTCAACCAAACCTGGGGCTGCCCTTCCCCTTCGTGCCCGGCTGCAGCGCATCATGGCCCGCCGCACGTGGGCGGACGAAGGAGCGCATGGGGGCAGATACAAAGAAGAACGGCCGCGGAGATGTCATGGCCCCGGCCATGACATCCACACCTTCCCCCCTCGATTGGCCAATTATCCACCATCACTACCATAGGTAGGACGGGGGAGAAGGGAGGATGAGAAGGTCCTCCTCCTCCTCCTCCTTCTCCTACCTATGGTAGTGGTGTTGGAAAATCGGCCCACTACCCCCTCCTAATCCTCCCCCCCCCTCCCTGCAGCCGAAGAATAAGAAAATCATAGTTTCGGACACCTAGGCTGGGTTCCCGGGAGTTTCTCAGAGCACATATGTACCAACTTTTCTGTTTCGTGTTGCGAGCGCGGTCGTGCTTAAGAAACTGGGCCAGCTTTCTGGCAAGCTGGTCGAGAAACGACGGCCCAACTTTTCCAAATGAAGTCTCTTGATGAGATGCTCGACTGTAATCCTCCCCCTCTTGACCGGCCCCAACTTCCGCAGAAGCACATTACCCTGGGAGTCCGAACGGCGAAAAACCTCAGGACCCTTAACGGTTTACAATTGAGAAACGTATATTAAGGACGGGTGGTGAGGAAGCAGGACCCTTGCCGAAGTTGTTTTTTTTGGGGCGGCGGTCGACCAGTGACAACGGCAAAGGACGGGCCGCAGAGGCAAGGACACAAGGGTACCCTAGATGAAGACGCGCGTCCTTACTAGGCGCGTTGACTGTACAATATAACTGGGGTGGGGTGGGGGGAACACGCGTCCCCCAATCTGAGACCCTCCGTCTTCGTACCCACCCCTTCCGTACCCGTTTCGGTCGTACCGACACTTCCATCGCGCAGCTCCCCTCCAAGCTGCCCTGGGCCGTCGGTTGCTCAGCACCCCCCGCTGTTTGCAATAGATGCGCGCGGGAGCAGCTGAACATCTGTTGCACACACAAGAGCTGTAGCCCTTGCAATAATCCGCGCCAATTCCCCCGACGCAATTGTTGCGTACCATTGCACGCACAGGTACGCGAGGAATGAACTATTGCACCTCTCACCGCCCCCCTCCTCCTCCTCCTCCTCCTCTGCGCAAGATCCACTACTCCAGCCGCGGCCCCTTTTGGCGACGCGCTGACCCAGGCCATCGAAAATCCAAATCGGCCAAGGCCCCGTCGCGAAGCCCGGCTGGTCGCTTCGAAGCCCCCGCCGCGGGACAGCGGTCCCGCATGGGTTCCTGTTCCGGGTCAGCCAGAGGGAGCTGGCGGACCTCCGTTGGCGCTGACCCCCGCGTGACTCAGCATGGGGGAAGCAGGTCCTCAGCGAAACGGGTCCTGGACCTGATTCTCCTGGGTTGCTCCCTGGCTCGTTCCCTGATTCTCTCCTGGGGCAATTCTTCCTCCTGGGTCGTTTCCTGGGTCGTTCCCTGGGTCGTTCCCTGATTCTCTCCTGGGTCGCTTCCTGGGGCAGTTCTTCCTCCCGGGTCGTTCCCTGCTTCCCGGGGGCACGTGGAGGGCCCCGCCCCGACCCGAGCACGACAAACCCCCGGAGAAACCCGTTCCCTGCAGGACCCGCCTTCCTTAGGGGGCAAACACACCGACCTCGCTCTTGACCACCCTCGCTTCCAAAAGATACCAAACGATGCCAAACTACGGCTTGTACTGGTCAGGCCGCTTGACGAGGAGGCGCGTGGTATGACTTGGTTTTGCCTGGAAGCGAAAGCGGGGTAGGTAATGCACGCTCTGACTCCTCCTCGGCACACGGCGTGGACCCCGATCCTCCGCGAGGCCAGCCCAGCCCTGGCTGCCGCCAGGCGCCCGCGCGGCGGCCATCGGCACCGCCGCCGAAGGCGCGGGAGGCGCCC